CTGTCAAAAGAAAAAACGGATTCATCCGAAAAATAGACCTGAAATCAACAAAATTTTTAGAAATGCTCATGTTTTTTTAGTTTTTAATATTGATATTCCAGCAAAACAACACAAATATACCTTTTTCCAGTCTTTCACTGTCTAGTTTTTGTATTTTTGTGACCCTTTGAAACGATTCTTTATCATAGCCGGAGTAAGCCTTGATTTTCGAGCTGGTCTCCTAGCTTTCAGTCTGTTTTCGACAAGTCTCTGACCAACTGTTCTTTTTGAAACACAAATTTCTTCATTTTTATTGGGTGAGCATTTGCAGTGGTTTCTTTTTGTTTACTAGCAAATATCTCTTATTTTGCGATCAGTCCCAGGAGTAGTCACACGATGTCTTCCGCTGTGATCCGTATGCTTTGGATCCAAACCAATTCCAAACGCAATTTTCTGTTTTATATTCCTTACAGAGCTTTTTTATACTTCTACCATTGGTGCTATTTCATTTTGAGATATTTATCCAGCTTTTAGGAGTCCAAATACCTGGCCTACTCGTTTTGGTGACAGATTAGTGTTTTTCCCCATCTAAAAATGTATAATACCTTTAATTATACCAAAAACTTCACTGCATATGTTTGTCATCTAAAAGATAATAAAAAAGTATAAATCACTCACGTCTGCAATAAAATTTCAGGTCAAATCCGTTTAGAACTCAAATATTCACAGACAGTATTTGAGTATTGTTCTGAAGCTATTTTCTTGTGGCATTGTAAATTAATTACTATTAAACTGGGAATAAGCCACGATTAAAGATAAAAATTAGTTTATTGACGTTTCAATTTCCACATCGGAAATCGTTCTCAAAATTTCAATTTCCGAAGTGGAAATTGAAACGTCAATAAACGTATTTTTATGTTTAATTGTGGCTTATTCCCAGTTTAACAGTATTTGAGGTTATAAAATGCACAGTACTTAACAGGATGCAATGGATGAAATGACGGATAGCCGGAAAATGTTATCATACTATATTAAAAGTTGCTTTGCGAAAAATAATAACATTCCTGTTGATGACAATTATTAATTTTAAAGAATGCAAATTTTTAATGCTTGGCCTAATAATTTGGCCAGTTACTGTAGTGTTATTAAGGCATCCTGTCAGTTTATTTGCTTTTGTACCTGATCTCCCACTTCTTTGTCCAGGTTTCCATAGCTGGACAGTGCAATTCCAAGATATTTTATTTCTTTGCTGATTACTATTGTTTTAGTTTCCTGGGTTGAGTTTATTATATTAAATTCGTTTGCTCTTATGTTAAATCTGTGGACCAGTCTTTGCAGACTATTTTTATCTTGGGCTAACAATATGGCTTCGTATGCGTAACTGAGAATTTTCACTTCTTGTTTTCCATTTTCTATCCTCTGAGAAACTCCAAAAACAAAAATAATCCTTTACTTTAATGAGGAAAATTAGGTGATTAAATGGAATGACTTGTCGTATCATTCTACAAGCGGAAGTGGAAAAAGTCATTAAACAAGTGAAAATTGGGAATATAAGTCCTGTCCAAATACTATAAGACTGGCTTAAATTCATAAATGACTAGAATGTTTCATAGCTACTATTAATTGCAATTATGAAATTCTAATACCTCCTTAAATATAATTGGAGTCTGCGTTTACCCCATATCCAAAAAAACTTGACACATGTAATCTTATATTATTAAGTATTTTCTATTTTCCTTGGCCTTATCATTATTTATAATATTTTGAAGAGTGAAGGTCGTTTTCATTTATACTTCTAAGAACAGTTGCACTGTAATAATGCCTTCCTCATCACTTTATCAACACCTATAGTAAATGCATTTCTAGTTACATTATCTAATTCAGATATAAAGTGCACTAAATTGCCGTTTTAATAATGCATATTGCTATTTGAACTGCCGGTCGAGTAACTATTGTATAATATACTTGAATTTTTGTGACTGTAGATATTTTCTTTGACTTAATCATAGTACCAGCATTTTTACCACCTGTTGCTGTTATTTTACTATTTCTTTTCTCTCTTTATTTTTCTTTTTGGTTTTTTGATCCAAGAAGAAAATCCCTTGGTTGAAGTTACATTAAAGATGCAGCAAATAACATTCTAGAACCGCAAAACCACCATCACCAATAAGTGGTTCGATGCTGAGTGCGAGGACATTACAAGAAGAAAGAACAATGCATATAAACTGATGCAGTAAAAAAGAACCCGAGAAAAAAACAACAAAAATATAAAGAGCTTATAAAAGAGAAAAATGCGAACTTATAAAAAAAGAATATTGGAAGAACTGTAGGCAATAAAAAAGAAAAATCAAACAAGAAATTCTAAAAAATCCAAATAATGCAAGAAACAAATTTAAACCAAGGATCGGACTATGTAAGGATCAGGAGGGGCATATACTCAATCCAAAAGAAGTATTGAACAGGTGGCTGGAACACTATAAAGAACTACTTACTATCAAAGTAGAAGATCAAAATCCACCAGCTCCAGGAGCAAGTAACAATACACCATTGGAGCCTCCATCAATTCAAGAAGTAGGGGATTCAATAAAACAACTAAAAAACAATAAATCTCTGGGAAGTAATGGTATTCCCGTGGAACTTATTAAATGTGGAGGTGCTTCTCTGACTAAGAGACGGACTAAATTGACTGACTAAAATCATACTGAGAACCTGGGAAGAACAACAAATCCCGGGAGAGTGGTGTATTGGGATCGTTTGATTATCTATCAGTTTCATCTAAAAGATCTTACTCTTTATAGCTATACTTTAGTGTAGTACTATACTAGGTTGGTTCGGGAATTATTTTTGGATAGAAATTTTTTTAATTTGTTTATTGGAAAGCTATTTCTCAGATTAGCTCAAACTGTGCTTTAGGAAAAACCTTTTTTATTCTACATATTGTAACGACTATTTTGCTTACCACAGGGTAAGAATATGGGGGACAAGATTGGGCAAACAAAATAATCGAAACAAATGCATACGACACTCAGTTGGTTGTTGGAGAGCTGGGTCGTGGATAAGTTAAAGATATTGGGGGTTGGATTGGGGCAACTACAAAAAAGGAAATAAAAGGTACTTATACGAATCTATTGGACAAACAGAATGAAAATAAACGGAAACACCTCAAGAAATTTAATATAGGGCGCCACTTGAGGTGCCCAATTATACCTATTACAACCACTAGTTGTAACTAGGGAAATAATTGCATAACATAAAAAATATAGAAAAAAAATTTCTTTTTCAAATAAAACTCAAAATAGATCAGAGAAACAAATTAAACATTTATTTTTGTCTCAAACAAAACAGATCAAAAATACATATTATAAAAGAAACATATCATATAACATAATACAAATAACAAAAACTTACATGTTCTTTGTTTACTATATTATGGCCAATTAGATTATAAAAAATTAAGGATCCTTCTTAATGAAAACATATAAATTTAACCTTATATATATGAAATATCGTTTCTACATAATCAAATTAAAATTGTCATAATAAAAAAAAACAAATTAAGCTTGCTGTCAGGTATCACATTTAATTTTGTTGACAAAGAATGAAAGCAATTATTACTTTAGCCAAAAAATATCTGTCTTTACTTTGAAAGATTAATATATTGAATTGTTACCTTAATGTTTTTTTTTATACAAACACTTTGAAACTTTACATCTCTGGGGAAGCTACTCGGACAAAACTTTCAAAACTGGAAGGCAGCAACCATCAGGATTTAGTTCTACACTCCAGGACAAAACGATTGGAACAGGAACTTAGTGGAAGAAATAAGCCGACTACGGGGACATCCTATATCATACTTTAAATATTTTCCATATTCTGGTATCTGCACAAATCCTTTAAATATTTAGTGGCTACCCTTTTCTAAATCTGTCATATTACAGAGAGTAATTGTTCCACTATTTAACAAAATTTGTCGACTTTTGCAAACTACATAATTAATACGTCTGTCCTGTTTGAAATCTCTCAGTCGACCCTATTGTCACATGTCTGCCCCGCTTGGAACTTAAATCTCGACTCCTTATCACATGTCTGCCCCGCTTGGAATCTAAATCTCGACTCCTTATCACATGTCTGCCCCGCTTGGAATCTAAATCTCGACTCCTATTGTCACATGTCTGCCCCGCTTGGAACTTCAATCTCGACCTCTTTGCTTCGTTACATTTTACAAGAAACTAGCCAAAAATTTCCCTTCCGTCTTGCAGCTAACCTGTCCCCACAAACTCAAGAACCAAAACAATATCCCCTCGCTCGTATCGACAAAAAAAACCTTTTAAATATTCCTTTATTGCGTTTTTAGACGCCAGTATTGGTATCCTAAATAAACAAATATTCTTTTTGACTCTCATTCTAATAACGAAAAACAACTTTTTGTCAACTGGAATATTAGGGGAAATTCATGTAGCATAATACCTCTTTGGCGACAAAAAACTTGTTGTTTTACCTAACATTGCAACACAGAGATAAAAACATATTTCCAACGTTAATACGCATTTAAAAATCTCGTCAAAAAAAACTTGAAATATTTACAACGTACCTACATTTAACTTTATTGATCGATTTCTTGGTAGAAACAACAGGGACGTACCATAGAAATATTTTATATACACAATAAATAAAAAAACGCTACAATATTATATTCTTAGCTTACTCTCTTTTTAAGAATATGCTTCCTTAATTTTTGTATGGTTTATCTATACGATATTGATTATGCCTTTTTCTCGATTATCAATCCTAATCATACCGGTTTGCTTTTCTTGTCCATTTTTTTGGTATTACTAATTCAGCTGCTTCTTGTATTTGTTTTTCTTATCAGTGTTAGCTTCCTTATTACTGTTTCTATTATTGTTTTTTTAATCAATTTTTATGTTTTTAAATGTAATTATTTAATTATTCCTACATCAATCAATTATTTACAGTTCCCCAAACCGAAGAAGGCTCCTTGGGAGCCGATAACAACATAGGAAATGAAGTTAGCGGAATACGTTTTAGTTATATGGTTCTTGGCAGCTAGTATAGAAGCTAGCCGACTTAGACACCTAGAACATCAATCACACAATTCTACGGAACCACAACACCATTTACCACCTGGCGGGTGAGTACTAATTTCAAAAACTTGTGTTCTTTTAAATTTATAACAATAATGATACTGGATTTAGTCTATTGTAAAATAACTAATCGAGTAATTTATTATTAATTTTAATTTAGGCTCTTCAACTTATTAGTATATTTTATAAGTAAGGTAGAGCAAATTTTAAAAAAATTAATCTCAAAACCTAAAATACATAGGGTAAGGTTTCCTAGTTTGGACCAATTTTCAAACGTCTCTTGTATTACACATGTTAATAAATATTTCAAAATTTTATCATAATAATCATTTACAAAATATTGTTTATATTTTAAAAAGTTATAAATAATAGACACACGAAAATTATAATATTTTAAAACACAATGACGGTATTAGATTTTTGTTTCGATTCAGGGCAGCAGCAAGCCGCTTATACGTATTTAGACCCCTTTAGGTCTCATCAGAGCGGTATATCCCACTGCTCTGAATCGAAACAAAATCTATCCCGTCTTAGGCCAATAATTATCGAAATAACTATTTAGAGACGTAACAACGCCATCTAATAACAACAAGAAAAATCATACGATTTCCTACTTAGCGAAACTGAATTCAATTTTTTTACCACTGTGTCTTATACAACTTGTAAAGCAAATTTTAGATTCCCCTGCCAAGTAATTCATCAAGCTGTTTGTTTGGCAAGTTGTAGAAGGCACAGTGGTAAAAATTTAAATTCAGTTTTGCCAAGTAGGAAATCATATGATTTCTATGTATATATCTATATAAGGATTTTTACAGCTGCCATTCTTCATCGCTAAGGTCTCTTCTTTCCATGGCCTCGTCCACTTCAGCCCTCCATGATTTTCGGTGTCTACCTCTTTTCCTCCTTCCTATTGGGTTCTAATCCGAAATATTTGCTATCCACCTTGTATGATCTGTTCTTCTCACATGTCTATACCAAATTAAACGTTTTTCTTCGATGTAGCTGAAAATGTCTTCAGACATTCAGATTTCAGTACTTTCCAGGATTCCGAATTCGTGCATGTTTCTTCCCATTCTTCATTATTTTTCTTTGCCCTTCTTCGTTTTACTTCTCTTCTGGTTTCTTTGTTTATTTTTACTTTGTGTTGGGTATCTCTTTTCTCAAGTTTTCCCAAAGCTTCTTATGCCGCCTTTTTTATGCTGTGTTTGACGTGCTCGTCCGTTTCTTTGACGTTTCTGAAACCGAAATCTTGTAACTTCTGGTATAGGTCACTTATGGATTCCTATTGAAGTATATTTATATTGAACGTCATTTCTTGTTCTTTCTGTTCAATTCCTGTATGATTTCTCTTGTTATAATATTTTATTTTTAAAATGAACAAAATATAAACAAAAATCCAATTTGGGATACCGGCATGTTTAATTGTATCATTAGCGCCCTAAATTGGACCGATTTTAAAACTAATATTCAACGTTGTGTAACTAATAAACTTAACCTAAATGTAAAAAATCTGTATTGTCTTAAGTTATCAGAAACAGACTTAAAAAGTCTTTTGGTAAAGATTGATAATGAGTGTTTTAATATAATATTCTATTTGTATGTATATTATCTATATCCAATCACTTATTATTACCAATACTTCACAATCTAAAAATAATGACTTACTCCTTTCAGAGTTTATTGAATTATAAATAAAACTACTACAAAAAAAGATATATAAGCCAAACCTTCAAAATACTCAAGTCCAATAAATTCTTATAGTGAATCATAAGGTTGTACCTTTTTACAAACTGTGTCAAATCAAATCTAAAAATAAAAAGGACGTACTTAAAAATCAATTAGTGACCAACCAGTTTTGTCGTTACACTAACGAATTAAAATAGTAGTACAGTACTCCTGGTGGGATGATCCTATTAGTACCGCCTTTATGATTGATTTCGTGTATTACTAATAAGTTAGCAATTAAGAACTTATAAAAGTTTATTATTTTAAACAACTGGTTATCACACTAATGATCCATCACTATGTCAGCGGACGAGGACTGTAATTTAAGTGCCACAGACACATGTTCCTTCGGTTAAGAGGTCCTCGCATCGTTTGACACTTGTATATAAATTATCTATAAAAACAATTCTTCCCGAATGCTCAAGATCCTGCATTAAACTCCATGCATATATTATATGTATGCCCCTGCGTATTCGTTGCTATAGTGGCATCATTTTTTCCTGCATAAATACGCAAATTAAGGATGTATAAACCTTCAGTCGTACAAATTTTATAGAGTTTTACACCGTATTTGTGTGTTTTTGCTGGTAAGTATTAATGGAACACCAACCTGCCTCTCTAAGGTACCATGCTTGTATCAATCACGACTTTCTGATCGGGAACAAGTGTCGCCTTAAACTGTTGACAAATAAGATTTACAACATCTTTTATTTTCGAGAGTCTATCTTGGCCAGCTAGTGGATCGTTTTTATTACAAAAATACAAGCATTTCAATAACTGGTCGAATCTGTTGCGATTCATAAATTCTTTTATTCGCTTATTAGCGTACATTTCATTATTTGACAAATAAAGGCGTACTTTTGGTAGCTGATTAATCCCCATTATTAGCAAGATAGCTAGAAATTTTTTATTTCTGCTTTGTTAGTATCTGTCCAAGTTTTCAACAAAGACCGTGGTCGCAGTGGCTTCGATTGAATGATCTGATGTGCGTATCTGTTACTTTCCTCTACTATGATGTCAATGATTGGATTAGTAATAAACTGTTTGTAGATAGCGTAAGGTTGAGATAAATCTAAATTGTTAACTTTCAAACCGGTTTGTCCGAAGAACTGAATATTTAGTGCTGAACTGAGTCTGTAAATGGTTCCCATTTGACAGGATATACTCTTTCTTGTATTCCTGCATCACTTGCCAAACTGTTGTCACTAGAGTAATCATCAGAACTGTTATTATTAGAAAGAGCATTTTCCCTCACATCCTGAACATCTGAAGGCCTATAGGACTCTTCAGAATACTCAAACGTGTCGAATTCTGAGGATGATAGATGTTGAAATCTTTCTTGTAGTTCAGAAGTAGAGGGACGTGGATTTTCCGGACATGCTGCTGGCGGATTTAGATATTCTGGTGATGCTGCAGTTGGACATAAATTGTCTGTGGATGTTGCAGGTGGGGTTAGCTTTCTCGGGGATGCTGGAGACGGGCTTACATTTTCTAGGATGCAGCAGTTGGACTGTGATTTTCTGGGGATGCTACAGGCAAACTTAGATCCTCCAAAGATGCTGCTTCTTGAACAATTTGTCGATGTGCTGTATTGTGGCTAATAGCCATTATTCTACGTGGTGTGGAACTTATTCTCACAAGTTTGCTACTCGGATCTGCAATTTAATGATTATTTAAAATAAAATAATCTTATATATTTACCGCATACCATTGCCATATTTTCTGTAGACCTCTATAGGAAGAATATATAGTACATATTATAAACAAATTGGTATATTCCTTTGAAATACACTACATCGTACACACAGTTGCATATTTTTTTTTATTTGACTTTTCAACCAAATTCCGAAATAATTCATTTTAAAACTAATCTCAAAACATTGAAAACCGAGACTTATCTAACTGCCAAACAAAGCAATATACAACTTCCTTAAAATAATACCAGAAAACGGGGTCAGAATTTATCAGACAAGATATTTTGGTTTTTACAAATTCAAATGTAAAACAAGTGTAATACGATTGATAATTTGATGACCTTAGAACTTTGAATGATCTTGAAACATTAAAACAACCAACTATTTTTTATATATTAAGTAATAATTCGTAATGCTTTATCTGTTAGGGTATTGATCCGCAAAAATATTTCCTAGAGTTTTAAATTTAGTCTGTAAATTATAAGTTTAAAAAGATTATGCAAATCAAATTAATATCTGCATAAACAGGATTTTTTTCTTACGTTATTTTTTTTATTATTTAATTATTCAGTATACCAATTTTAGTTTTGAATTTATGTGCAAATTTTTGTTTTGTTAACTGTAAAAGTAGTTTTTGTCGGACAACCGATTCACTTGAAATTTAGTGAGTTGGTGGGAAAGTGCTCAACTAACAAGTTATAAAATGCTGATGTGTGCTTTCACCCCAGAGGTGTTAGACACGCTCCAGCTATTTATGGTTGAAAACAGCAAATTTTCATCGAAATAGGGCACGGTTTAAGTTTTTTTATGAATAACTCAAAAAATATATCTGCGATCAAAATATTTCAAAATATTTCAGATATGGGCAATGGAATAAGACAAGGAGACTCGCTTAGTCCAACGCTATTCAATCTAATCATGGATGAAATCATCAATACTATTAATAAAGGAAGAGAATACAAAATGGGGAACAAAGAAATCAGAATACTCTGCTATGCAGATGATGCGGCCCTAATTACATCCAATGAAAACGATCTACAAAGACTAACCCATAGATTCAACACAAGGGCAAAGGACTTTAATATGGTGATCTCTACACAGAAAACTAAAACAATTGTAATCAGTAAAGAACCAATTAGATGTAAACTGGAAATCGACGGTATCAGCATTGAGCAAGTAATGGAGACAAATTACCTAGGAATTACACTGTCTAGCTACGGAGATGTGGAGAAGGAAGTGAAAAATCAAGTACAAAAGGCTAATAAAATAGCAGGTTGTGTTAATAACACGATATGGCTCAATCCCCACATTAATACCGACGTGAAATCAAGAATCTACAAAGCAACAATAAGACCAATAATTACATACACTTCAGAGACAAGACCGGATACCTCCAAAACTCAGCAACTACTAGAAACAGCGGAGATGCGTTTACTGAGGAGAATTACAGGAAACACACTGAGGGATCGAATGAGGAGTGAAGAGATCAGAAGAAAATGCAATATACCAGAAATAAATGAGTGGACACTGAACAGAAAAAAGGAATGGAACGAACACATAAACAGAATGGAAGAGACCTGATTAGTAAGAATAGCGAGGGACAAATCACCAAAAGGTAGAAGAAGTATCGGGCGACCACGCAAAAGATGGAGTGATAACCTCCAATAAAGGCATTAATCGACATTGAACAAGCATTTTGCTTATAAAAAAGAAGAAGAAGAAGAAGAAGAAAATATTTCAAGAATAAAAAATAAGGCTTAAAAAAAAGAATGAGATTTTATTTTTACAAGATATTGTAGATACAATACAAAGTGAGATATGGTCGGTGAATGGATACATTTTTTTGGGAATATTTAGATTATTGTGGTAACGATAAGACTACTAGAGATAAGAGAATTGAAATAGGTACTATTACAAAAATAATACCTCAATCAACCATGGAAGCTTATCGGCTATGATTCGCCTTGCTCAGTCTCTCAAGTGTGAATTAGTCTTGTCTTAAACTAGGAATTAAACCATAAACCCCTAGCTGATAGCAAATAAAACAATTACTTAACTAATCATATTTATTAAAATAACAAAGACAATCAACCCTTCCAATGCTTTACAATAAATAAATTTGGCGATACTTATGGCATCCACAGGTGATTATGTTGCCTGCCAATTAGGTAGTTAGGTCCTACAATAAAATCATTAAGTTCTTCAATAATATCCCATAAAACCAATAAACTGGTAATACAGAAAACAAATTCTTAAATACGGCCAGTACACCCAAGAGAATTCTGCAGACCATAAAATGAAGCTTATAATAATTTCTACCTTTTTTTTTATAAATTTCGATTACTGACAAAAAATAATCCCACCAGGTCTAGAAAAGTTGATTCACAGAAATTAGGGAGACTAAAAAACTTGCACAGATAACATAGGACTTGTATGCCTATGACGGAATTAGCTCTTCTGTCAACATAGAACAGAATATTTAGTCTATCGGACATAGAGATAGAAGACAAATATTAATTCTATGGACAGAAATAGAAAAAAAAAGAGAGACAGAGGGCGCCAACTACTTTTTGAAGAAAAAATATTAAAAACGAAGCTAAAGGCAAGGAATTAATAAAATAATATAAAAATTGAAATAAAGTAATTATAAGTATAAATTAATAAAGATGTGACGTTTTTACAATGTATTTAATTGTAAGCAAGAAAATTGATTTTTTGGGGGAAATGATATCAATATTTTTTATAGTCCATTAAATGACCTTTAAAATGAGCACCACAAAAAGTTATTTTCATGTTAACTGAGTAAATTACAGTTCGTAAAAAATAATCCAAGAGTTTAACTGGTTTAAAATGCATTCTTTTTGAAAAAAGGTATATTAAATTGTATCGTCTATTTTGAAAATTTCAAAAAAATGTTCTTATTTTTAAAATAAATTAAAAACTATAATATGTACGTAAAAAATGACACAGTACAATGCAGTTGTTTTTTATATAAATTTTAACGTGTTTTAAAAACTTTTGTACCATAAAAAATAATGGAAATATCACCGATTAAAATTTATATATTGGTATGAATAATCCCTGTTTCGAGTGGGCGACGGATGTGTTGTGTATAACTCATTAAACCAAATATTGAGCAAAACTCTTCGAGTTTGGCCGTTAGAGTTGCTTTGGAGCATATTACACCAGTCCTCTGGACAGTCTACGTACAATTTTTTTTAACTCACTTTCTCCATGTTTTCACTCAATACAGATGACCATAAAATGGAGTAGAAGCATGTATTTTGACATCACCTGGACATTCCATTTATAAATTGTCTCCTGAGACAACTATTTTTACAGCAGAACTATTTGCCATAATCAAGGCCCTAGTATTTATTTTCGAAATAAAACAGATTCACTTAGCTGTCTGACATAAATTTCGCTGGTTAATTCCTCTCAGCCAAGATTACAGCAGATTAAAATTAAGTTTATACCGTATATACACTCTGGATGTCGTCACACGTTGGAATGTATGAAAACAAAAAGGCAGATAGTTCTTCTAGGTCCTTAGTAACCAGAACAGGTTAAAACCTTACTTAAAAGCAAAATTGCACGATGTTTGGCAAAACCAAGTGAATAGAAATAACACTACATTGAAAGAAATAAAATCTTATGTCCTTCTTTGGAACTTCTAGGCGACATTAAGTCCTAATAATACGTCTTAGAATAAGACACACGTCTACAACTTCTTCTTCAACCTTCATTTATCCATTGTTGGACATAGGCCTCCTCCAAATACCTTCCACGCTTCCCTATCTTTTGCAATTCTCATCCACTGTTTTCCAGCTACAGCTGTAATATCGTCTATCCATCTCTTTTTGGGTCTTCTTACGCTTCTTTTTGTTTCTCGAGGTCTCCAGAATGTCAATTTATGAGACCATCTGTTGGTGTCTTGTCTTGCTACATGTGCTACCCATTGCCATCTCAATGTCGCTATTTTTCCCATGATGTCGATTACTTTAGTCTTTCGACTTATTTCGGTGTTAGGAATTTTGTCTCTGAGGCTTATATTTAACATGGCCTTCTCCATGGCCCGTTAAGTTACTCTTGACTGTTCTGCCATTTTTCTTGTTATTGCCATAGTTTCCAACCCATAAGTTGCAACTGGTAGTATACAAGTGTCATAGGTTTTTCGTTTTAAGTGAATTAAAACGTCTACAACACATGTTGAAAAAAGAAGAGGAACCAATGAGTTTTGTTTGTGAATGTCTATCCAATGTACTATCGACTATCCAATATAGTCAGTTAAAAGAATATCATATCACCATCTTTCAAAAACAATAAAGAAACGCCTAGATGAATCTAAATACATAGTTGACTTGGTATAATTCTTTAAATCTCTAAACTAAAATTGAACACAATACATCGGTAATTAAAATATATATTGTACACTTTATCTGTAATTGATATTTTAAATTGTCTAAGTATATTGTTCCAATTTAATGTTGAAAACATTATATTGGAATCAAAGAGTTCAAATTAATAGCCAACACTCAGAAGAAATGAAGATATGTAGAGGAGTTAGACAGGGGTATGTTTTATCGCCACTTTTGTTTAACTTATATTATAAATAAATTTTCGAAAACACGCTCAATAACATCAAAGCGGGAGTTACCGTTGACGGAAAATTAATTAACAACTTACGAGATGCAGACAATACTGTGATCATACAAACGAGTATAGAAGATCTACTAACAATCTATTGACAATCAATGGTAACGTGATAGAACAAGTAGAAAAATATCAGCACTTGGGAATTTTGATCAATGAAACCAATGATCATATATAATCAAATTTTGAGACTCATAATATAGGGAAAGATTCAAGGAAGAAGATCTGTTGGCCGAAGGCAAAACTCATGGTTG